TCTAAGGGGGTGAAACCACCCCTCAAATATTAGAATATTTTTTTAATTAAAAATTGGTGAGTTTTTCGGAAAAACTCTTAAACACGCATAATTTATTTTGTTTTTTTACATATTTTGAAATTTTTAAAAAAATCATACAGGGTGTTCCAAAAAGTTGGGTAATTAATTAACCACGATTCTGCTTAAACTGCTTGACGCAAAAAGCTTATTTTTGGCAAACGGATTTTTCGAAAGTCAAATTCCAACGAGATTAAACTACCCCTCAAATATTACCAAGTTATATAATAATATCGCCATATTGTTTTTTCTCATGCTGTCATAAATGTGAGAAAATTTTATCCAGTTTGTATGTTAATGGAAATGCTTGCTTTGCTTTATCATTACCATTACAAATGACTAATTCGACGGGAACGAAGTCGCAAATACACGCTAGTATTCATTATACATACAGGCCCGGCAATGGATCTCTAGGCATAGGAATTACATGCATTGGAATGAAACGCCTATAAAAAGTCTATGCTTAAACAGAGATGGACAACAACTTCCCCGTTTCCACTTCCACTACGACTGTCTACTTAGACAAACTCCAATAAGATAACAAATTTTGGAAATTCCGCCACCTCCCATCCACTCATGATACCCATCTCCCTGCCCTTTATTTATCGCCATTATTTTATTTCCCTTCCCGCGCCTCCGCACCTCGCTATTCTGACTCCCGTCAGTTCATCACAGAGTTGCCAGGTCTACCGGTTTCGTCTGTAAGCTACCGATCTACCGATTTAAAGAAAAATCTAACGATATATTCAACTGCGTCTTTAGTTTTTACAATAGAAGCACTTATAAAAAGCTGACTTATTTGACTAAAAATTAAGCGACTGCCGTGTTGGAATCTGTATAATTTGACTTTATTATTGTTTCATTAAATTTTATTTAGTAATAACACACATACAGGTCATCGTTCTGTCTAGTTGCAGAGTTACAGAGATATTCCTAAAAATCCTTATTACTCCTTATTACTCCTTATTAGGCGCGGTATTGGCGACATGCCCGAAGAAGTTGATATCTTTGAAAAGATTTTATTTCATTCATCTACTAAAGTTGAACCCATATTTTCCCCCAAAAAATGTAAACAAAAAACAAAATTTAAGTTAAGAAACAACCTAAATTCGGACAAATATTTTAGTGATTTTGACCAAACCAAATCAAAAAAAAATATTAATATGAAAAAAGAGTTGAGAGTTGCTACAGCTTTCCCATTGAAATGAAATTAATTTTAGATATCACTGATCAAAATTTGTACAAAGGTAAAAAGTGACTACTACACTAATTTGTGACTGCTATCCCTACTTGTTATAGTTTTATATGTTTTTATTAATATATTAATATTATTTAATTCAATATTTTTTTTAATATCAAATAATATACCTAGCTATTTGTAATTCTTGTTATATTTATTATATTTGTATTTTATTTGAGTGATCTATTATTACGACACATAGGAATGCTAATTTTGGACTTATATATTATATTTTATTTCGTTTCTGTACTTTTAATTTTTGTTGAAGATGTACCGAGAATTTTGTTCTCGTATGGAATTATAATCTAACCAACCCGGCAACCCTGTTCGGCTACTCCTTATAAAGTTTTTTTCGGCCTAATTCCTTTGTCACAGCCGCGGCTTTGTCAAGCGCCGCCGCCGACCGACTGTGTCGGGGCGACTGCTAGGAAGATCGTACAGTATTGCCATTTCATAGAATTGCACTTGCTATTTTAGAAATGATTTCAAAGTTTTGCATGTTACTTTTCGTTTTAGAAAGAAGTTATGTGCCTAGAGAAAACATTCTTAAAATTGTTTCGTCTTTATTTAATATTTCATTAAGTAGGCAAGATAATGGGATTAGAAGATTTAGGATTTTGACAAGCCAACATAATTTCGATTTAATTGAATGGCAACACTGTCCGTCCTGTTTCTATTTTTTCGATTCTGTTCTATTAGTAGGCGGTAGCCCCCACACAAGCGTCTTAAAGACCCGCCCGGCGCCCCCTCTCGCAGGGGCTCTATCGTCGTATCACTCACTTCTATGATCACTTCCCCTATACAATGGTAGGGAAAAGACACTTTATCCGTCTCTGTTGCACTGCAGTGTATTTTGCAGCCTTACCATCTTTTTTTATCGCATTGAAAACCTCCTATTGCTAATATTCCTTTGCCAGCAGTGTATAAGTTCATATATCAAATAAATTTTTAGTCACGTGATTAAGCCTGATCGACACAGCGTTGCCCACTTTCATATATTTTCTTTTAATCAACATATTTTAGAAAGCAAAAATAAATTGATTATAAATATATAAACAGTTATTATTTACATCAACAAAACTCGCCTTCTTAACAGCACTTAAGGAACATAAAGAGCCATGAGTTTTTTTACGGCTATTAAGCTATCTTGTACCACTTCGCACTAAAAGAGGTTCTAAAAAGAACAATGTTCGACTGCAAGGTCTGCTAGCAAACATGTTTAAGCTTAAAGTATCACAACACTATTAATTTAAACTGAAAACTAGTAATACAAAACTAAAGTGTCAAAACGAATGACAATGTCAGGAAATAAATAAATAAATGTGGCAACTTGACATTTTTAAAGCAGAGTTACCGCCTAAATCCCCAGCGCGAAATTTAAATTCCAGTTAGTCAGCACGGCGCCAAATATGTCCATGGTTGGTAACAATGTATTTAAAAATCGCGCCCTTGATTACGTAACTAAAAGTTTAATTGGTATCAAATATATTGAGCTTTAAAGTATGTACATTAAAATTAGAATATTCTCAAGTTAAATATAATTATTATACACCATAGATAACATAAAAAAGGCAAAGATGGTTTACATTACCAACAACTACTGCACCTAATGCTAAAATTTAATTTGTTCCCATAAGATAGTTTTAATTAAACTTGTCCTAGACCATATATACATATACATGGACACTTATAATTTTCTTCTAACACGTAAGTCTAATTTTACGCCGTTTAACATTCTATTCGCGTTCTGCGTAAGTAAGAAATAAATCGTTGCACAGCCTACTTAAAATACGTATAGAGTGAAGATGATGTGTTTTTGATTAGCGCCAAAAGAAAAATATCTAACAGTTTCATAAGCCTCTCTTGCTTTTTTGCTTGAATCAAATTAACACTCCAGCTTCCTTAAGAATTTGTGATTTAAGAAAAATCAAATAAATCCCTTATATTATACGCATATACAGGGTGGTCTGAACTGTATTCCAGAAACATCGGTAGGTAAAAATAAATAAAAAAGTTCGTATAAATGTATGTCCTAAAATGCTTAGTTTCGGAGATACGGGGTGTAGAAGTTTCATTTTTATTTCGATTTTTTCCAAATAATTTCTGAATTAACGTCAATATTTAGATGAAAATTGGTGTTTGGGAGTTTTTTTGACATGAGAAATTTGATTTTGATGTCAATATGACTCCCATTTGTAGGGGGCGCCATCTACATGCGTTTTAACTGTTTTGAAGAGTAATAACTTTTCGTCCGTACCTGTATAAAACTACTGGAGCAAAAATATACATTTCCATGATTTTTTACGTAAAAAACGTTACCGTTCTAAAGATATTTAGAATGGAAATAGTCAATACATGTAATTATTGACAAAAAATGATTGTTGATTTGTTAGTTATTTGACTGAAATGATAAATTTGGAAACTTTGAATTAATAACCGATAAAATGATGAAAAAACAGTTTTTGTTGAACTTTTGGCATAAAAACATTTCACAATAGACAAAAAGTTATTACCCTTCAAACAAGTTAAAAAATATGTAGATGGCGCCCTCTACAAGTAGGAGACATACCTATTGACATTAAAATCAAAACTTCTACACCCTGTATCTTCAAAACTAAGCATTTTAGGACATACATTTATACGAACTTTTTTACTTATTTTTATCTGCAGAATATACTGCCGAAGTTTCCGGAATATAGTTCGGAGCACCCTGTATACAGGGTGGCGCCTCTCATTCAACGCTGAAGCTCCAAGGAGAACGACAGTAGTTGGCATTGAAATTAAATTCTGCATTATGTAATCTGTATTACTCCCTGTATATTTGTAGGTCTGCATTGGAAAAATAAATTCTACAAAAAAAATCCTAAAAACTATACGACGCGACGTAGCGTTTTTTTACAAAAGACAAAAACTGTAGTAAATACTACAGGGACCATTTTACGAAAAGAAAATCTGTCGTGGATTTGGAAAACATTTACACTAAAATTGATGTAGGGGTCCGGGTGGTTTTCAATCTTCCCGTATTTTTTTTTTTTGATTTTTGTGAAACTCAAATGTTAAAGCACTTAGCAAAACATAGTCACCCAAAATCTCATTCAAATCGGAATAACGGTTTTTAAAATATCTTAAAAAATGTGTTTATTTTTTTAAAGTTTGATACCCTCTAGCGGACAAGCGAAGCACTTTTGTATAGAGATAAATTGTATCCAATGAACTTATTTTGATTCCATATATATGTTACGTAGTAGTTTTATGTCCACGGAATATTGGAACAACCTGTATACAGCATTCCATTTGAAAACTAAAAATTTAGTGTAAAACTTATTTCAATCACCCTGTATACATAAAAAAATAAAATTGTGCGCGCTATATTGTCCGCGTATTTTTCAAAAATGATTAGAATGAAATGGAAAATGAAATCTGAAATAAAAAACCTGACAAATTATATTATAAAATAAAAATAAAATAAATAATTAATAAAAAAAATAAATTAATTAAATAATTATATTATTTTTTGTCTTCAGACAGCTTTTCTCAAGAAGTTTTTTGACAAATTATATGTAGATATTTATATGCATTTTTGGTATTAATATTTTATAGACTTTAATTTCGAAAAATAACAAAATTAACATTTTTTTAAGATATTTTAAAATTATAAATTAAATATTTTAAAAAAATACTGTTAATCGGAATCACTCCTTACCATTTAATTATTTGGGCCAACTTTTATCACAAAAACAAACAAATCACGACTTTTATCGCACTATACATATAATCCATAGTTTTTCACAAACAAACCGGAACTTTTGTGTACCTCCGTTCTTAATAAGTACCGCCAGTACGGCTGTTCTTCTTCTACTGAATTTCAAGCCACCATATTCTTACTCTTCTATCCTTTTCTACCAGTGTCTATCTTTAAAGGGGCGACAATGTACATATGGAGAAGCCAAAAGGTCTCAATAACTTAATTTTCAAGTACTTAAACGAAAAATTAAACTATTATTGAAAAAAAATTATGTTTTTTTAAATTTTGACACTGACAGTAAAAGATTTGTGTATTTTAAGTGTATATTTTTGGGAATATAATATTGAAGAATATTATTTTAAATTACTTATTAAATAAAAAAATATATGTCTAGTCCAGTTTTACATGTGATAAAAATATTTTGAAATAAAGTATGCAAAAATGAAGGAATTATAAAACACTTTCACCCTAAAATCAATTAGCAAAGACATCTATTTTGAATTATGAGAATTTTTAAAACCCAGGAATTCGTGATATTTCGGTTGTTCCAAGTTAATTAACTTTAAATCTAAACTATTTGCAAATTTCTAATATACAGGGTGTTAAGGAACGAGTGCGCAAAAATCCCGCAGTGGTGTTTCTAGAGATTGAGTCTGGAAGGGGTCGTGGCAATATTTAAGTAAAATACTAGATTTAATATACAGAAAATTATTTTTTAAGTAAATTTGGTTTGGAACTCAGCCATCTTCCGTAACTGACACTATATTGACAGCTCACATAACGCATGCTTATAGTTTATTTGTAATAATTGATGTTCACTCCAAATCAGTTAGGTACATACTAGAATAAAAAATAATTAATTAATAATAAAAATAAATCATTAATTAAATTTAATAATTTTAAATGTTTTTTTTTTAATAATTATTATTAATTTTTTTTTATTTTTTTTTTATTTAGTTTATACCATTTCCATAAAACTATATCTCAAAAAGACTGTTAACCAAACAACCCTCTTTGAAGAACCCATTGATATGGTTCGCTTGGGTTCTGTAACGTCTCCAACTCGTGCCATATGATTATAATCTACCCTCTATATTGACCATAAGCGGATGTGTTATATGTGCCCGGCACGTGCCAGTGATTTTCGTATATCCTCTTCGGCATACAGGGCGTATTTGCTTATATAACCGAAATCTATACGAATTGAAAATAAAATAAAGTTCGTTGGTAAACAGATAGCTTGAGAACAGCTGCACCGATTTGACTAATGTTTATTTTATAAGTATTTTATAATATACTAGCGTGTACCCGCGACTTCGTTCGCGTCGAATTAATCATTTGTAATGGTGATGATAAAGCAAAGCAAGAATATACGTGTTTAAGAGTTTTTTTTCGAAAAACTCACAAGTTTTTAAATAAAAAATATTCTAATATTTGAGGGGTGGTTTCACCCCCTTAGAATTCGAATTTCGAAAAATCCCTTCTTATCGAACCTCTACACCCTAAAGTCAATCAGTTTTCCAAAAATCAGCTTTTTACGTCAAGCACTTTAAGCAGGATCGTGATTAATCAATGTCAGATTTTTCGAAACACCCTGTATATATTTTTAAAAAATGTTAAAATATGTAAAAAAACAAAATAAAATATACGTGTTTAAGCGTTTTTTCGGAAACTTGACCGTTTTTTTAAATAAAAAATATTGTAATATTTGAGGGGTGGTTTCACCCCCTTGGAACTGGAATTTCGAAAAATCCTTTCTTATCGAATCTCTACACCCTAGAATCAACCTGTATGCCAAAATTGAGCTTCTTACATTGAGTGGTTTGAGCAGGATCGTGATTAATCAGTGTGTCACACACAAGGATTTTATATACATATAAGAATGGATTCTAATAATGTTTTTATGCGATCGATAAGAAATTGGAGAAAAATGATTTTTCTATGATAGATCTATCTATGATAGATTGAGAGAGATTGAGATTAAGAATTCATTGTGCTATTCTTACAAATACAACAGTCACTGACCAACTGACAGATCATCAAAAGTGTAAAGGTACTTCTAGATGTGTCACAAACTACAAATTTTCTTACTTCGTTCGATAGAAAATGACACTCTGAATAGAATGATATATCATCCGCCAACTTTAGACATTTTCGCTTAAAAAATCGTATTATAAACTTCAATCTAGAGTGCCATGGAGGTGGTAAAAACACGAATTTTTAATCAAGGAGCCTTGGAAAATAGATTTGATCCTCTAGTGTTTTTCGTGTATCGTCCTGGCCGGTTAAAAGATGCCCAAATATTTTAAATCATATATCAATTTTTTTTAAATTGAACAAGGGTGGCTCATTAGCATATTTGGAAAAAGCGAATAATTTTGTACCACACACTTGATATTTTGAGTCGAATTGTAGTTGTGAACCGCATGTTACAAGTTGACATATGATAAGTCATTCTCAAAGGTCATTCTATTCATCCGGTGAAACAATTGAATGTGTTAATCAATCCTAATTTATATCATATACCAAGATACTTTCTTTCTTCTAAGAAGTTTCTTTATCTGAAAAAATAAAAAGGGGTGGGCCAGTTTTGGGACGCACCCTGTATACGTCAATCGAATGGCACTTCCCATAGATATAAAGAATTCTTTTAAATCTGTTTTTGGACTTTAAAATGACATTTTCCAGTCGATTAGACTGAATTATTGGTCATATCGTTACTCACTAACAAGAATTTCTATTGTGTAAAAATCTTCATATATGCGGTTGATTCATAAAGAAATATCACACACAGCTGTATTTCCGATTAGTCAATACGGTAGTACTGCTATTATTAAATCACTAAGCACGCCACTTGAAATGCATTAAGTTCGATACAGTATTAAAAAGGTATTAGACCTGTTTTCCTTTATTTTTTTAATCTAGTACGATGGAAACATAAATTAAGAACTTATTTCGGAGCTTGTATGCTCTATTTTATAAGGGAGATATAAATTATATACAGTATTGGCCAAAAGTGAATGAACCAATACCAATAATTGCGAAGAAAATCAGATTTGAGGTGTTAAATATCAAAATTATTTTATGTACCTTTGTATGTTAAAAGGTTAATACATTCTCACCAAAATACTACAAACAAATAAAAATTCTTCTGTTAGTCTTATGAGTTATAGGTAAGAATTGGCAAATGTTACTTTTTTGTCTTGGACAAAAGTAGATTAACCAAATATTTTTTAAAAAAGTTAATTTCATTTGTTCTGCTTTTATGAACAATTGCGATTTAAAAACGTTCGAGCTCTTGTGATATATCATGCCACGTGGAATTAACTTGTCTGCAGATTTTAAGTTGCGAGTAGTGAATGCTTTTAAGGATGGTCTGAAGCAATCGGAAATCGCTAAGCAATTACGCCTTGGAAAATCAGCGGTACATTATATTTTAAAGAGATATAATGGGAGAGGAGATGTCTCTATAAAAAGAAAACCAGGACGGCCTAAAAAAGTTGGTCCCAATGTGATAAAAGCCATAAAACGAATTTCTTCACAAGATCCATTTTGCCGTCAACGAAGGTAAAAGCAAAACTTGAAGAAATGGGCTATCCACCAGTGAGTACAAGGACTATCCGACGTAAATTAGTTAACCAGAAGTTGTTTTCCCGAAGACCCGCCAAGAAACCACTGGTATCAAAAAAAATTTAAAGGCCCGATTAACATTTGCCAAGGAACATCAAAACTGGACTGTGGCACAATAGAAAAAAGTTTGTTTTAGTGATGAATCAAAGTTTATTTTGATGTCATCAGATGTAATTCAACATGTAAGAAGACCTCCCAACACACAATTGCTACCAAAGTATACGCGACCCACTGTAAAACATGGTGGGGGCTCAATCATGGTATGGGGCTGTTTTTTCTGGGTATGGGATGGGCCCTCTCCATAAAATTGAGGGCATAATGGATCGGTTTGGCTACAGAGACATTTTACAAAACCTTTTAGTGCCTTATTTGGACGAAAAAATGCCAGTTGTACACTACTTCCAACATGATAACGACCCGAAACATGCCTCACAATTGGTTAAAAGGTTTTTGGAAGATGAAATGGTGACTGTTCTCAAATGGCCATCGCAATCCCCAGACCTGAATCCAATAGAAAATTTATGAGAAATTTTGGATCAACACATTAGGACCAAATTCTACAAAAATAAGCAAGAATTATTTGCTTTGGAAGAGTCTTAGAAAAATATCGATTTTTCAATAATTGAAAATCTTCTGGGATCTATGCCTAAGCGATGTCTGAAAGTGATTAAGAATAAGGATTATTACACTAAGTACTAGTAAATTATAAGTTAATTTTTCAGTTTTTGTTAACATAAGATTTTTTTTATTAAATATATATTTTGTTCATCTACTTTTGTCCAATGGTTTTTTCAATTTAAATTTTTTGCCACCTTATTAAAGCAAATTTTAAAAAAACAATGCTATTTATTTTTATAGCACTGACACTAGATTTCAAGTAAATATAGCTCAAATTTTAATTTAAACATATTAGGAAAAATCCATTATTTTAACAAAGTTCATCCACTTATGGCCAATACTGTATGCTGATTTCTTCTTTCTGTGTGTAAAAATCAAAACAGTTATGTTTGCGTGATTACTATATCAAATTTGTCAATTAAAACTGCGTTAGAATCCAAAATTGCTGTGTAAATCTTAAATTTTCTTAAATGGCTGTCTGTAAGTGTGTGCTATTAATAAACAATAGGAATTCAATAAATTATAAATGATTTATAAGAGCAAATAAGGAACGTATGAAAGAGCTATTAAGTCAGGAACGTAAAAATATTAATATTATTGATAATGACTTAGGATAATGATAATAAAAAACACACTTATAAACATTTTCTGTAGTTTTATGGTTGGTCATTGTTCACAAATTAATCAATTTAAAGCTTCATTCTTATTCATAGTTTGCTAATATACATAAGGGAAACTATAATAAATATTCTCTTTTCATATCCTGATGGTTGAGAATTCTTTATCTACGTTATATAAACATTAAAATAAATATTAAAAAGTTATAAAAGCCTTTGAAAGAGTATTAGTTTGAAGATTGAATGAGTATCTAAAATAGATCTATCAAGTACCATTCAAGACCATAAAGGAACCAATTTTATTTTGAAAATGTATCCCATTCAAGTGGATGCGTTATGGTAATTGGTAATGGAACTCTTGAGATTACATAGAGATTATAATGGTGAAAATATGAGAATTTAATCTACTTCCAGACG